AAAAATTGTGAGATTAAGTCTCTATGAACGAATCTTGAATCTAAATTTTTAGTGCATTAAAAAAAATGAGTGGGGACAAGTTATTAAAAAAATTAATTTTTATTACAATTTTAAATTAACCCTACAAATTTTCAGAATTTCATTGGGGGCAATTGCCCCCACCTCGCCTCCGCCCCTGCCCTCATCGCCCCACCACCACTATCCTCATTACCACTACTCCTATCATCACAACCACCACCACTACTACTATCACCCCTACCACCACCACTATCACTGTCCCACCATCTCCCCTTACCACCCCCACCCCTACTGCCCCACCACCACCACCACTACCGTCACCGTCACTACCTCATCACCACCTCTGCTACAATAACCACCACTACCACTATCGTTGTCACCACCACTATCGCCACCCCATCACCACAACCACCGCTGCTGCCACCTTACCACCATCGTCATTATCCCACCATCACCCCTATAACCACAACCCCCACAACCATCACCACCACCACCCTTATCACCACCACTACCATTGTCAACCATCATCGATTACTACCACTGTCACCACCCACTACCATTATCATCTCCTTCTTATATTTATTAGAACTATCATCATCATTCCATTACCATCGTCAACCATCACCACCCGTCGTCATCTACCATCGTTGTTAGTCACTATCGCCTACCCCCCACCACACCTATCACCACCACCCGTCATCGCCTACCACTACCGCCACCAATTATCACCTACTGATATCCATTATCACTCACCCTCACCACACCAACTACCACCACCATTCGTCACCACCCATCACACTGTCGCCCAAAAGTACCTGTTGTCGTCCACCATCGCCACCGTTGTCGTCCTATCACCACCATTGTCAACCACCATCACCATCGCCCACAACCACCCACACCCACCACCATCACCCGTGACTACCACTACCACTATCATCGTTGCCACCCACCACAACCATTACTGTCTCCCCCACCATAGCTGCCGCCTACCACCACTACTACCGCTCACCCCCACTAGAGACGATGCTTAAATTCTTTTCTCTCTCTTCTATGTTTGTGATTTAATTTTGTGTGTGAATACAAATATATTTATTATTGACCATTTTTTTATTACTCTCTGGTTTCAAGCACAGGACAATAACTAGTATATTTATATCACCTACCAAACATAAAATTAAATATGATTTATGATTTAATCCCATTAAAAATCCATTGGGTTGAATTTGAAAAAGTTTCTTTAAAACCAATCCAATCCCCCATGTTGATCACCCAACACATGCCCTTAATCCTTCCTTTTAATCCGCCCCATACGTCTTATGTTTTGTGCATGAATATAATTCTAACATATGAATGATAACATTTACAATTCTACTTCTTTTTCCTATTTTTATGAACATAAATTCGATTTGAAATTATTTTTCACTCTGGATGATTAGTTTACTATAAAAAAAATGCTAAAAATCAACAAATGGAGTAGCTTTGTCAACCCAAACAAAAATTAAGGCCATAACCATCCATAACTCATTTCTTCTAATTTCTCTCAATTATAAATGTTATTATGTACAAAAATGCAATTCACTATTTATGAGCTCGTCTCTCATTTCGTATGTCATGTATGACCAACATTAAAAAAATTTAAAAAAATAGTTTAATACTGGAATAAGTCTCAGTTCTAATCATTATAAAGATGTTACAGCCGCTTAATTTTTCTCACCAATAAGGTAATGGATTCAAAAACCTTAAACATAAAATACAGCTATCTTTCAAAAAGGTGTAGTGAGCGGGCCCAGCCTGATCCATTAATAAGAGATTCCCAATCTACCTGTGGCAAGAGAATCAACATCTTTCAAAATTATTTGGTCCGTTCTAATTTTATCGAATGTCCTTAAATAACTAATTATTATAACTGTCAATAACCACCCTTCTCGATATTCCAACGACTAACGGTAACGGACTACTTTTCCATAAACATTTTTCAATTTAAAGAAAATACCATAGAATCTATTCACCCTCTAGACTCTATAGATATCTTAGCCCAACACTGAAAATATTAGATATTTTACGCCGAAAAAAATTATAGTGATCAGAAAAACTAATTATTTAACGGAAAATAATAAACTATGATCATAATTGACATGAATGATAACAAAAAATGATTACCTGAATCCATTTTCGATATGCAAGTACATGGAAACCAGAATTTTCAAACAAATTCCTCCTTGTCGTGAATTTGTAGAGATTAAATATTCATGGTTTATTAATTATTCTGGAGGAACAGTGTGAGGTAAAAGTCTCACCAACCCATCAAACAACAACCAACTCCTTTAGAGGCAATGTTAAAGTCACAACCATCCATGTTGAGGTCAGATAGAAACTCGGGTGACAGGCTAAACGACAACAACCTTATCAACCTAGACGTCAGAGTCTCCGAACGAATCTTCTTATCCATAAATCCAAACGCAATCAGCTTGATAAATTAATTAAACTTTAAAAGAAAGAGAAAACTATCCAAAAAAAAAAGTCAATACCGTATTGTCATTACAAATTTAATAATTTTTAAAATTTATTTTGCTATTTTTGTAATAACTTGATATCGATCCTAAAAATATTAAAATCAATTGAAACTTTTTTAAAATCGATTACAAGTTATCATAAGTTATAACTTGACTCAAAAAAAATAATATTTTTTTTATATTAAACAAATCTCAAAACTCATAAAAATTCACTAAAATTATAAAATTTAGAAACACAGTACCGAACTCTAGTTTTGTCCCTGAACGAATAAACTCAACAACACCCGACAAAAGAGGGCAACCAACTACTCTTTTTGGGGTTACACGTGTTAACAAGGTAGGAAGTGGTATGCAAAGGCCGTGGTGTGGTGGGTGAGCTGATTATTAGCCAAACCCTAAGCACACTAGCAGCGACCGAAATGAGTTGAGATTCGTTTTCACAGTCCCGAGAGTCACGTGTGGGGCACAGTCAAGCTAACCGCGAATGGGGCCTAAAATGCGTGTTGAACGGTTACCCATTTTTCCTGTATGAGAAATGCTTATGTGCATCTGTGGTTTAATTTTAGAATTAATGTTGAGACTTATTATAATTTTAATTTTAATTTTAATCTTGAACAAAAAACTTATATATGATGTTAATTGAGCAATTACAATCTGGTAGCAAAATGGTATTTAACTCTCATGTTGGGCTTTTTAATTGATATTCTATTACCTGATATTATTAAAATAATAAATTAAATTAATTTTTAAATCTCAATAATAATACTCTTACTTTTATGTTTCAACAATCCAGAAGGACATTTGACTGCAATCGTGCTTATATGTTTTAGTTGTGATCATGTGGGTCCATTCCTCCTACTATGGGCTTCCGAATAAAATCTAACTTTAAATGTTGATAGAATGACGGCGCACAATCTCGTACCATTCAAACCAATAAAATAAACATAAATTCCGTACAAATCGATCAAAATTAGATTCTCTCGCTAACTCTTTTTCGATACCACATGCCACAAGCCGAAATCATATATCCATGAGACCAAAGTCACATGCACCAATAGGACCATGACAAGTAATCATGTTTACAATTGAATATCTACTGGTGATCCTGCGAAGTCACCACCGCGGGGCCACAACAATTGTAACAATAATAATAATAATTTAAATCGTATACTCAAATATCATATCAATTAAATTGTGTATTAAAATACATAATTAATTTTTTAATTGAGAAAATAGCCTACAAAACTCATTAGATCCTTTTTAATATTTTTCTCTCTCAATTTTTATTTTTAGCGAATTATTTATCATAGTTAAGTGAAAATCAGTGTATATAAATAATTTATGATTCATTAGTGGTGGATAATATATCCAAAAAAAAAAAAATAAATAAAATATTATGTGGAAATAAAAGTTTATACGTAATAATAACCCCACCACCGACTGATTACATTCATAAATTCAATGGCACCGAACGCAAAGGAAACCAAATACCAACAACCTCCAATTAGAAAGAAAAAAAAAGTGTGCATTATTGTACGAAGAACAGGGGACCACTAACGACGTCACTGACGGCACCGTAAGACTCGGCTGCCATTGAATAATACAAACAAAAACAAACGTAACCTCCCACACAAGCGTCCCTCGACAACGTCGCCAGCCCGTGAAAACCTTAACGGCGTCAAGACCTCCCCAAGGCCCAAACTAGACTATTTACACACTTCTCACGAGCCAAGTGTTATCCAACTATGATATTGGGTTGTTGAACTGTCACGTGTTTGAGTCTTGTTTAGACGCTTCACACGCCGGCTATACAGTTGGATCACAAAAAGACAATAATGCCCCTGTACAGACACTGAGCCACCAAGTACATACGAGTATCTACGATGTTAATTTATGAAATTAAATGAAGAAATAATTTACTTATTAGATTAAAGAAAATGTTACATAATTCAAATAAAACCCAAAAATTCAAATTCATATGCATATCATTCTTTACATGAGTGTGAAATGAACGAATATTATTAAAAAAAATTGATAAATCTCACTGATCTAAAAGATGATACACATTTAAGTTACCATATTTTAAGGTGACCATCCAATAAAAAAAAACAAATAAAAAAATTCACTTCTTACCATAAAGATTGTTATGTATTACATGATAGAATAATTGTGAGTTTTAGTAAGACCCATTTATTAATTTATTTACCTATAAATAGACGATTATATCATATCAATAGTACAATTATACTACATCAGTAATACATCACCACTGCTGACGTGATATAGCAGTTACACCCAATATTTTTTTCGTGGTTTACCGGGAAAAGAAGTTATTAGTTTAAAGGTCTCATTCACTCTATGAATAAAAGCCTGGTCTTTCTGTTTGGCTTATTTCCTACTTTCTCTCTCCTCTATGGAACAACTCCACCCCCCATTCTGCCGTCCACCGAATCAGATCTCCGGCAATAACCCAATTTTCCGGTAACTCTATTTCACTAGGCTTATCTTGTGTTTCTTTCAAAAAATGTTTTTAATACTTTTTACTTATTCATGCAAACAGAAGAGAATAAAGTGGCATTAGCTTTGTAAAAGATAACAGAGAGATTCTCTGAAGATTTTGTTTTCTGTTGCAATCTTTATATCAGTCAGACCTAATTTTCATATTCCTTGAAATTAATTACAAGTTTTAGCTTTTTCTTTTTTTTCACTTACTATATCCTTGTGTTTCAACCAGTTCTTGACTTTCTCTATGAAATCAAGGTGTGAGTGATTACCATAACTCACGCTGATCTAATGTTTTCTCAGCTCAAATTTTGTTCTGTTCATGCAATTCTTTTTTAGCTACACACTCTCATGTTTGTTTTTTTTTCCTCTCTTCCTATCTTATCTGAAAAGAAGGATAATTCAATAAAATGGCGTTAATGGTGAAGAAAGATAGCTGAAAAATCTGCAACAATTGCCTAAATTTTCCATGTTCTCAGAAAATTGAGAATTACTGAGCAACTTGAAGACAGTTATTGTCTAGAAAAGATTGAGAAACAGAGAAACCAGAAAGATTGGGATATTTACCAGATTTCTTGTGGCAGAATGGACATTAGAGGGGAGAGTTCAATTCTGCAAGCCAGAGATTTCCAGATTAAGGGTTCTTGGATTCCAACCACACCAGTGAAGCCCAGCCAAGCAGAACCGCAACCGATCTGTGCAGACAGGAAAGAAAATCAGCCAATGCAAGCAAATTGGTCAGGTGCTGAGAGATTTTCAGAGCTAGGCCAACCAAGTTGGGTAGAATCAGAGGGGATTTCAACTGGGTTTTCGCCAGAAACTCGAACTCGTGGAGTAGCTGTAGCTGCATGTTGTGGTTCCACAAATTTTGGCGAATTAAACAGGGGTTTCGACAATTGGGAGGCAGCTTTACCCGCAGAATCCCAACTTTATGGGGATAATGACAGCGTATGCAACAAGTTTTCCATGGACGCTATGGACAGATTTAATGAAATGCGTTTTGGAGATCTTTTGGCACTCGCAGAGGCTGCCTCTGCCACCGCAACTTCTGGAAATTTAAATGCAAGTGCCAATGTGAATGCAGCAAACAGTTCACTGATCTCTGTTGTCAATTCTCAGATTGATGATAACCGGAACGAAGATATTTTGTGTGGATCAAACTTTCAGATTTACAGTGACTGCGCAGCAGATATACCTCACGGTGAGTATCACTAAACCCGTGTTTCTTTGCATATTCTTCCACAAAATTGTGCATTCATTTGAGAACCTAATGATTTAGAATGTATCCATGTGGCCCTTCAGAATGTAGAACCTAATATTTTGCACCTGCAATATTACATAGAAGGATTGAGTTACTAAAGCAAACAATGACATATAAAAACCAGAGAAAAGACAACAAAAACAGTAACACAACATTTCAAAAAGAGACAAATGTGCATTCCCCAGCCCAATACTCCGTCATTCGGTGTGTCCCTACCTACCCAATATAAGACATTACATTGTTTCGCACACAACAAAATATCTCTAAAATCCTGTTCTTCCCTCATTGAAAAATAGAACCGTTTCAAGAATGAGAACAAGTATCATGTACCTAGAAGCATTCATAATACTTGAGTAACACTGTTTCAAACTTTGTTGATGATCGTATTTTTCTCGTGCTGAAGTGATACTAAAGAATTGTACATTACAGATAGGTGCTCCATTCCTTACCAACCATCCTTTGATCTCAATTCGCCACCTAGAACTACAACAGATGCATTTTTTAGCAGAAGCATCTCCTCCCAGTTTGCACCCATAACACCAGATCATGCAAAGAGATCAGACAACAGAATGGTATCTGATATACCAAATTCAACTGCAAATGAAAGAACAAGTCAAGCAAAAGATAAGCGGGTGAACGAAATTGCCAGCAACGTGGTTGAAGTGAATGAACTCCACCAGGAGACCGAAAAATCACAGTTGCTCGAAGATCAGTCGGGTGCTGCTATTTCCACACAGTTGCAGGAGAATCACAATCCTGACAAGGGAGGGAACCAGGATACTGACTCAAACAAGACACCACAACAGAAACCAAGAAGGAAAAAGCATAGGCCCAAAGTGGTTATAGAAGGCCAGTCTAAAAGCACTCGCAAACCCATGACTCCAAAGCCTGCTGACCACAATGAAATTCCAACAGTTAAAAGGAAGTACACTCGAAGAAAAGGAGTTGATCAACCCAGAGATACTCCCCTGGCTGAGGAAACCAACAAAACCAATGATTCAAATACAGTTAGGTGTACCAGAAAATCCTGCAGGCGATCCTTGAATTTTGATTCCGAACATGAAGTGAGAGATGAAAGCTCCTCATGCAGGCCATCATCGAATTTCGACACCGAGTTGCACACAAAAAACTTCTGGACCTGGGTGGATCAATCAAGATCTAATGTACTGCTTGCCCAGGGAATGGAGATAAGAGGAGAAAAAACTCAAGCAGGCATTGCTTATGACCTTACATGTTCCATGAATCTACAAGAAGGTAACCAATTAATGCCTGCAAGACAAGCCCCAGGCCCTCCAACTCCTGCCAAGGTTGATCTAGCACAAAATAAATTGATGGTAGACACTCACAATGGATGTATAAGAGGAAAATGTCGAATAGTTTTCTCAGATGAAACACATGATAAAGAGGCAAGCTCTGCAGAAATGATGAAAGATTCCTACTCTCAATCAGCATTGAGAAGCCCAAAGAATTCCAAGTGCAGCAGCGGTACATGTTTGACGAATGGAAAACAAACAAGGGGATTAAAAAGAGACCATTCATGTACAGCTGATGAAGTGGAACTCAATAGCACAAATGAAAAGGGGTCTCATTATAATTCTATGCAGGCATACCTAGCAATGCTTCCAGTAAGCGAATATGACATTGATAATAATGCCGGCATGTTTTTTCCAACAATTTACAAGAAAAAGAGAACAGAGAAAGCACAGAATTCAGCAACATCCAGCACTTCATCTACTGTGACTGCTGCAGAAAATCGTGTGGGACAAACCACGATATACTCCCCAAATGGCACGTGCACAAATCCTTCCACCACAGAAATTGGTTGCAGAATTTCTGATCCAAAAGTCAATGCCAATAGTACCCTGACTGCAGCCATAGCTTTTGCTCAGGATAAACAGCACCATTTCAAATGTATGCTAGCTTTGGGCCACACAGAGAGGTTGACAAAGAAGAGATCCAAAGGCCCTACTCGGGTACGTGACGTGGCTTCACTGATTAGAATTTCTAAGCAGTTTCCAACTTCTACCTCCAGAGGAACAACATCATCTGGAGTTATGCAAGGTTCTGAAATTTTACATCAACCCCACACATGCATGGAAGCCCTAGTTGCAGACAACCATGCAACAAAGGCAACAAAGAAGAGGACAAAGAGAAGTTTTCTTGTCAGTTCAGATAATCGCCACCGACTCCTCACTGAGTCAATGGGTACTACTTCCGAGAAACATATGATTGTTAATTTTCAAAAAACCAGCCATTCCACAACTAATTGCTTTTCAAATTTATTTGTAACATTTGATGCAGGGCCCCCTCCAGACGTCATATGGGACAGCCTGTATTCTGTTGATGCAATTGTTGAGCGGTTTAGGCGTCTCGACATTAATGTAGAGCACAACCAAGTGGCTGGTCAAGAGCAGAATGCACTTATTCCTTATGATAATATGAGGTATCGAGGGCAAAATGCACTTGTCCTGTATCTAAGAGATGGAACAGTTGTGCCTTTTGAGGGTTCATTGGTTCCAGTGAAGAAACGACGGCCAAGGGCTAAAGTTGACCTCGATGATGAGACAAATAGAGTATGGAAGCTTTTGTTGGAAGATATAAACAGTGAAGGCATTGATGGAACAGATGTGGATAAGGCAAAATGGTGGGAAGAAGAACGAAGAGTGTTCCATGGAAGGGCAGACTCATTTATCGCACGAATGCATCTTGTCCAAGGTAATAAACAAAGTTTCCACATTCTTGAATTTTAGATATGTTAGTCGTTAAAATGCCAGTAAATAAAAGATACTTTTCATCAGGAAGCAAAGAAGATTAGTGGCTCGAATAGAGGTGATCTGTATTCTGGATAATTTATACTGTTCAATCACCCAGATGATGTTACTCAACATTCTTGCCTTGTTTAAGATATTCTTAGATTGGATGAAGGCAAACAAAATGAAAAGAACAATAACCTAAAGAACTACCACCACACACACATGCAACAGTTTATTTCATAGTCAATCCAGCAACTACTTGGCTACAGCCTGATTCACAGTCATTGCAGCAAACTACTTAGGATTTACGTGGAAGAGAAATAGATCGGAACTAACCTTAAAAAAACAAAGAAACAAGTAAAAGCTTCTTGCATATCTTCTTCATCTAAAATATAAAAACATTTTGAAGATCAATTCAGCATCTTAAAATATAAAAACAAGTCCATGTTCAATTATCATTTCTGCTGAAAATTATATATATTGATGGCATAACAATTTTTCCACAGGAGATAGACGCTTCTCTCAGTGGAAGGGATCAGTTGTCGACTCGTGCATCGGAGTTTTCCTCACTCAAAATGTATCAGACCATCTTTCTAGGTTAGCATTTTTAATTTTAAAATTTTCGAATTCCCCTTACGAAATAAACTGGAAATCCTCTAAAATCTCTTCATTCGCTTCTGCAGTTCGGCCTTCATGTCTCTCGCTGCACACTTTCCCCTGAAGTCAAAGAGCAACCAAGGACCACCAAAGGAACAGAGAACCGGAATATTCACGGAAGAACCAGAAGTATGTGTAATGGATCCTGAAGATACTATTGGATGGCATGAACACAAGTCCCATAGGCCAGACTGTGATCAGGGTTCTATGATGGTCCAGGATGTGGAGAGTTATGAAGAAAAAGAAGTCGTCAGCAGCAATGAAGCCTCAGAAAGCAGCACGAGTGGCATTAGGTCAACATATACTTCAGAGAGCAAATGTTTAGATTCTTCTAAAGACAGTCCAGATATGTACCAGAAATCAGCAGCAAATAGATTAGCTACTCAAATCCCTAGAACTGTGGCAAGTAGTAGTGGAGATCAAAGAGAAATGGGCAGGGTATTTTCCCCTCACAATTATGTAGCTTCTTCTCAAGAATCTCCGGACTCTTCAATTGCTCAAACTGTTGAAAGAATAGGATCATGCTCACAGTGCAACTCAGAAGCAGAATTAACAGCTGGGTCTAAATCCAGCAGTTTTGGTAGCTCTACTTCTTTTGTGAAACTATTACAGATGGCAGGAACCACCATGTTACATGGAGTTTACAATCAGGGGATGAGAAACACATTGTCTGCGTATGGAAAAACCCAATCAGAAGGTATGGCATGTGTCTCACAAGAACAGACCAACGAGCGATCAGATGGTGCTAAAACCTCCACAAGACTCATTATGCCTGAGAGTAATTGTAGTTTGCATCAGATCCCCGATTCAGGAGCACGGGGAGTTGAATGCTTTGACATGCTGGGGGAAGAAAGCAGATTTTTTGATATATCCAAGGAAAAAGTAGAAACTTGTACCAGGGAACAAAGTGGATTCTCAGAAGAGTCTGCAAGCCAATCTACAGTTCAAAGGGTCATTACTGTAAGTTCTCAAGAAGCACCTAAACCTTTCAGTGACATTGACCACCCAAGCAACAACCTTGAAGTTGAGGTCAATAAAATTTTCCAGTCTCAAAAAACAGCCGAATGTCCAAACAACAATGTTGAATCACAGACTCAAGAGAAAAACTGTAAAATGCAGCAAGTTCTTAATGTCCCAAACTTCCTAGAAGATATCTTGAATGTAACTGACAGCACCAGCATCATCGATAGTTCAACAAAGGCTGAGCACAAAGCAGCTGAGTCAAAGGGTTATGCCCTTGGTAGGAAAGTGGATGGCCTGAATAATGATTCTTCCAGAGCAAAAAGGGAAAGAGCTGCAAAACAGAAACAGAAAGAAGTTGGTTGGGATAGCTTAAGAAAACAGGCAGAGGCCAATGGCAAAAAAAGAGAAAAAACAGCCAACACAATGGATTCATTGGACTGGGAAGCAGTACGGTGTGCAGACGTTAGCGAGATAGCTCAGACCATCAAAGAAAGGGGAATGAACAATATGCTTGCTGAGAGAATCAAGGTACATGGCATACACGTTATAATACTTATTAAAATCAAAACATTCTTGCGAAGCTAATGATAAATTGAGAAACTCATGCAGGATTTCCTTGACCGGCTCATCAGAGAACATGGAAGCATCGATCTAGAGTGGCTAAGGGATGTTCCACCAGACAAAGCAAAGTAGGCCCACAAAAATCTTCAAATGATTTCTATATGTTAAGTGAACATATAAAATGTCCAAAAACATATTAACAAACTCAATCTGATATACAATGCTATAGAAATAATGCAGTATCCTTTGGATTTTTGTATTGGAAGAAATAGAAATAATTACTATCATTCTATGGTTTCAGAGAGTATCTATTGAGCGTAAGGGGCTTGGGTTTGAAGAGCGTAGAGTGTGTACGGCTTTTGACACTTCACCATCTTGCCTTCCCAGTAAGTTTTAAACCTTGTTTATATATTGTTAGAAAAATTACTGCTAGACCCAAACATTTTATATTTGTTTATCTTCGCTAAGGTTGACACAAACGTTGGTCGCATAGCTGTAAGACTAGGATGGGTACCGCTTCAGCCGCTGCCCGAGTCTCTCCAATTGCATCTTTTAGAATTGTAAGGAATAATTTTTGGTGGATTTACTCATGCAATTTTGATACATCCAAGATAGACACATTAATTTTGTAATTTTTCCACAGATACCCAGTGTTGGAGTCAATTCAAAAATATCTCTGGCCACGACTATGCAAGCTCGACCAAAGAACATTGTACGCCAAACTTTTCCTATGCATTAACCCACAACTGATAAATGCATACATGACATATAAGTTAGAAGTAGGACAAATACCAATTTACTTGCATGAAGCAATGAAACTTACTGATTTATGATGTTATCTAATCACAGATACGAGCTGCATTACCAGATGATTACCTTTGGAAAGGTACATCATAAGTATCAAAAATATGAGGTGATTTCTTTTATACAGATATTTACTCAAACAAAAGCTAATAGGAATCCACTGTGATTTTGCAGGTTTTTTGCACAAAGAGCAAACCAAATTGCAATGCATGTCCAATGAGAGGAGAATGCAGGCACTTTGCAAGTGCATTTGCAAGGTTTTCACCTAATTTTCCCAGTTTACTAGAGTTGATGGCAAAGAATAAAAAGAAAACCACAACCCCCCACAACAACAACAATACCAGCACAAACGAACACAACCAACAACACCACAACGAATCACGGGCAACAACAAATTAAACTACAACATTTGAAAACAAGGTAAACCAAACAAAACATTATTTGAATCCAATCGGGATGAAAACTCCAAAATTGGCATAAAAACTTGCTGAAAAAATTAACCAGAATGAAAATCACCGAGCTAGCACCAAACTGTGTTGAAACCAACTGACCCAGCACTAAACCAAGTTAAAAATACTGAACCAGAATTAAACGAAGATGAAAATCACTAAACTAGCACCAAATTATGCTGAAAACGACTGGATTGCACTAAACCAAGCTAAAAACATTGAGTCAGAACTGATCCTGTATGAAACTGCTAAACTAACACTAAATTGTGTAGTTAACTATTAAACCAACACTAAATCGGATTGAAAACACTGAACGGGAATTAAATTGAGATAAAAACCACTAAACCATCACCAAATTATGTTGAAAACACTGAACCGTCATTGAACCTAGATGAAACCACTAAACGGGGCAACAAACTAAACCAAACTGCAAACACTAAAATCTCCACTGATAATCAGACACCAAAGACACGGATACAGATTCAATCTTTGAATACGAGAACTATTTTCACATATGGAGAATATATGTATACACATACATAGACCACAAAACATACGGTGGGCAAGAAGAAACAATTTACATGTAAAATAGTTTTGCAGACACTTGATATATTCGCACTATCCTAGTAGATTTACATAGTAACTCCCAAATATAAGGTCGCTACACAATTTTCTAGCTATGTATACACTACATGTTGGTTGAATAAACCAAAAATGTCATGTTACTGACCCACACAAAATAACACCAGTTTTTGTCAAGATATTTAAACTATATTATTATATATATGATACTGATAAAAATCCTGGATGCAGTGCACGGCTTGCCCTGCCAGCACCAGAGGAGAAAAGCATAGTGAGAGCAACAGAAAGCAAAGAAGCTGGTCAGAATCCTGTGGGGATCATTAATCCATTGCAGCTACTTCCACCTCAGGCAAACCAACAACCAGAAGCCCAGTCTGAATTCAGCAACTGTAACCCCATTATTGAAGTACCACCAACACCAGAGCCTATTATCGAAGTACCTGCAACGCCAGAGCAAGAACAGACACAAGTACTCGAAAGTGACATTGAGGACACCTTTGGCGAAGATCCTGATGAAATTCCTACCATCAAACTCAACATTGAGGAGTTCACACAAAATTTGCAGACTTACATGCAAAAAAATATGGAACTCCAAGAGGGAGATATGTCAAAAGCACTGGTTGCTTTAAATCCAGAAGCTGCTTCAATCCCCACAACTAAACTTAAAAATGTGAACCGGCTAAGGACAGAGCACCAAGTGTAAGTAGGCATTTCCCACATCTTCAATGACTGATTAATATTCCACTATGAATAGGATTCAATTAGCCTAAATGCAAGCCTAATCAGACCCTCTCAGAATGGAACTCAGTAAGCAGAGGGAAAGTCTATGGGTAGCAGCATCCCACAAATACTTAACATAAAACCGAAGTTGTTCCTACCCTAGTCCATGGTAGTGCATTAAATAACTCCTAACATATACTGAATGCTTCCCCATTCTGCAGCTATGAACTTCCAGATTCACATCCACTATTGGAAGGGGTTAGTATTTCCACATCTGGAGATGGTTGTCATTTGCAAGTCCAGAGTTCTGTATTATTCTATCTAAAGAAATACACTTTTTTAATTTGCAGTTGGAAAAACGAGAACCAGATGATCCGTGCTCATACCTTCTTGCAATTTGGACACCAGGTGAGCGAACAAGATCATACATGACTAAAGAATCACCAAAACTTTTTTAAATTATACATAATTTCCATTGTTTTAAGGATGCAGAATACATCACTAAAAAAGGCAATGGAGCAATTAGCTAACACGAGATTTTTTTTGCTCTTTTGTGCTTGCTAATTGTTTACTACGAACTTGGTAAATGCCCATATCAGGTGAAACTGCAAATTCAGTTCAGCCACCAGAAAAGTGGTGCAGCTCTCAAGAATCTGGCAAACTATGTGATGAGGAAACATGTTTTTCATGCAACAACATACGAGAAGCAAACTCACAAACTGTTCGAGGGACACTGTTGGTGAGGATATGATATACTTATTATTATCTTGCACATAATATGGACATGAAATGACATGAACATTTGGAAGCAGCATTACTTAAAAAAGTGCAGTACGGACACGTCGAGACCACATTCCAAATAATTGTGTTATATATCAAGCTATATGATTTTGTACTATACATAGATATAATTACAATATTACACAACATAAAAGAAATCAATACCGTAAGATAAACAAATCTCCTATATAAACTAAAATGTGAATTTTAAGAATTATGGGTCATAGCAATTTATAATTACCAATTTGTGTAGATAAAATGTACTGAACATAGAAGCTTGTAAATGATTCCTCTCACCTTCCCAAATCCCTTTTAGTAAAACTTTTATAAATCTTGGTACTTTTCTTGGAAAATTTTAAGAAAAACTTTAGCACAATTAGTCTAAACTATTTAAAGTATTTCATAGTATGAGATAGTCTTTTGTCAAAATTCCAACTTTTTTTAACTATAGGAAGCCACTTGTTTATTTTTAGTATTAGACACGGCCCAAAAGAAGTATCGTAAGAGTCACCAAATGAGAGTATTAGACACATCCTCAAAATGAAGATTGTTAATTATGAACAAGCCTAAATGAGTATCGCTATATGTCTGAATAGGACGCCACAATATTTAACCAGGTGGATATATCTAATTTACTCTCATATGACCACCGTGAACAGATACCATGTCGAACGGCTATGAGAGGGAGCTTTCCACTCAATGGTACATACTTTCAAGTTAACGAGGTAACAGTAATGCCCAATCTCAGCTCACTTGAATACTTCATGCATTACAATGTAAACAAGTTGTCACCTTTGTGGAATTAGGCAGTACTACAAAAGTAAAATACCCAACCTGTGCAGGTGTTTGCTGACCATGAATCTAGCCTTCACCCAATGGAAGTCCCTCGAGCTTGGATATGGAATTTGCCAAGACGAACGGTGTATTTTGGGACCTCCATTCCGACAATATTTAAAGGTAAAATATTCACAGAAATGAGTAATTATTCATGACATGAGCTCAGAAAAGGATAATCAACCTAGTCTGTCTTCGTGCTAGGTTTATCAACGGAAGGAATTCAATACTGCTTCTGGAGAGGTATGTGTAGATGTCAACCCCTGTTCTTTTTTTCTTTCTCGACACTCCCGCTGCTTCTATTAATTTCCACCAACTAAAAACTAAGTTGTATGCAAAGTACTAAACACAAACGATGTACAAGAAATCATCTAACTTTCTTTTGGGTTTTTTATTTTGGGGAGGGTAACTACATTAGGTACAAATAAAGGAGTTCTTCCAAGTCTTGTTTAATCATTCTAGGAAAACTAGGAACCTCACAAAACAAAATAAGCAAAGACCACTTGATCATGTAACCTGAGCCAGAGCCAGCTCACCAATGTCTAAACGATTTTGTGGCATCCACACGATATAAGAACTGAAATTAGTTTAACCTTCATATAAATTAATCATTGAGAAGACCTAAAACCATGGTGCAAATTTCTCAGCCAAGGAATATACCCTTAACTAGTGAGTGGAAATGCACTTTCAAACAAATCCGACCCCTTTTTAAGTAAAAACCAAGACCAATTCCCTTTAAGAAAGAGGCATGACCGTGAAATGCCTTTCTGAATGACTTGCTTGTAAATATATAAAACTCCTCACTCTTTAAAACTTATGAGAAGCGTGGTGTTAGACAAGTGCATTTTACCTTACGACTTAGACACACGGATACAACACAAAACTGACTACCATCTTATGCCAGTTAATACATCTCCAATACCCTGCAAGTCAACACTTGTTCAGACACTAACAAAGTATATTCAAATATCATGTCCAATTCATCTTCAAACACGAAGAAATACAATTTCCAAAATATACGAGGTAGATATGAATCTTTCTCAAAGAACTTGTCAACAATATTTCTGGAGATTAACTTCAGTTTTAATTCCCAGCCATAACTTATTACAATAGTACACATGTTTATAAATCCACCCTAAGCTTGGTCTAAGAACTTCCATTTGGCAACAACCACTAAGAAAGTTGAAAATGCTAAACACATGAAAGTAAATATTTTTAAATTGATGAAAACACTTTTAATAGAGGTCATTGCCTCATACAGTGGTATAAATGCCGTGCAAGCAATTATGAGGTTGTGGGTTCGAAAATGACAGCAATCACTTTATGAAAATAATGTCAAAGATTAGACACGTATTCAACTTACTCATCCTATCCGAAGACTGAAAATGCCTAAAGCAAAATGAGAAACTAAATCCAAAATATTGACAACATGCAAGTATTTTATGTATGTTTATTTATATATCGTCAACTTGTTCTATATCTGTCTCTTTTTCCGAGCTTGTTTGTATTCTTAGCCACAAAAATTGGAAATCATAGAAAGCAATGATATATCCTATGACTGGCACAAGTTAAAAAAAAAAATGCTTTCAACAAAGCTTTTCCTTGCTTTTGGTTTAGAATTAACTAATTACATTCTCTAGGGTTTGTTTGTGTGAGGGGATTTGATCAGAAGACAAGGGCTCCCCGTCCGCTCATGGCTAGATTGCACTTCCCAGCTAGCAAGTTAACTAGAAACAAAGGAAAGACGGATGAAAATTTGACATTCATACACTCGTCATAGTTAACAGTAGACACAAATGGCTGCAAAATTGCATTCACAAAGCAGCAACAAGTCGACATACAGTGGCATGGTATTACAAAAGGTAATTAGGGTCATGGAAACTTGTAAAATCCCATTGTGAGGGAATGTAGTCCGTGTAGAAATGTTGTTATTTATTTCAAGGCTGATCGAGCTATTCTTCTTCAATCACTGACATATAACAAAATGTTGGCTTTTCTTTACTTTCATTTTTTGACTGGCATCTGGTTTAGGGCGGACAATTCTAATACTATCCAACAATATGATTTAGCCTTGATGAATTCGGGTCATAATGAAGTTGACAAGCCAAACTTGCTTGACAACCAATTTTGACTCCACATGACTTGATTCATAACTAACCCAACTTGAAAATACTAATGTGAATATGAATTAAATAGGTTGGCGTCAAAATCAATTTGACCTGAGACATTCCTAATAACTAAATTGTGTATGGGTTAGGACTTAAGAAATTATGATATGACATGACTTAAGACACCTGAAACGCCAAAACACAATGTCCGCTATAGTCTAGTTGTTGGTGAACAAGACCACAGATCCTAGGAATCGGACACAATGGTGGAAACTGCTGAATTGGTGGTCGAAAGTAATTCTGAACCCAACATTAGCTAAAATAGGAACCAATAAGCAATCCACTGGGATGCACCTTTTTCAATCCACTACAAGACTAAAGACGGCGATGAGTTGCCCAAAGTGAGAAGGGGAACACTGCTAACCTAAACGAAAGTCAACCAGCTTTCATTAGCAAATATCCGTTGAAATTTCACAGCTTCCCAATGCCTTCGCTAAATACCAATCCTCTTACCTTGAATTTCTATTGAAATTGAAGAACATTCAAGTTCACATCTATTTTGGAACACTATATAGGAAATGCGCCTAGAATATCATAAAACCTACATACAACTGCAAAATTAAGTAGAAAACACCATAGAACAACTGCATCAAGATCTATAATTCCTGTAACAAACACATACATATAGCTTAAGGAATCCGAAAAACTACTTTGTAATAAACTATAAACCTTACGATAGTAAACTAGAAAACAAATAGAATAGGATTATGTAAAACGAAGTCCAACCGCTATATCACATGATCCAAAATGCAAAATCGAGTGAAACACCACCAATCACGCAATCAGACAGACTGTAAGCAGAGATAAAGCAATCAATATAAACATTCACAAAGTTATACATACACACTTTTCAATACAAGTACGGTGCATACGCACATAAAAAATCTATTGGAGCATCATTAAGTGAATGAAATTTCAACCTTACTGACATCCGAAAATCAAACACAATCAAATTTGCAACCGAAACGCAGCTTCACAACATGTATACAAACATTTAAATATGCAATTATGTAGACGAACCTTCCAAAACCGAATTCATGAGACTTCGACATACCGCGGGGGGACAGAGACAGAGTGAAAAAAGAGCACTTATGTGATGATGGTGATTCGAACAGAGCATCGCAGAGAAGGCTTGCTTGGAGGGAGAGAGCGAGAGAGCAATGATATGATGCTGGTGAGAGAGTATCTTTGGAAAAATCTTGCCGCCTCGCCGCTTTTCGAGTTCCCTCCCGTTCTGGTTTTTGGGTTCTCGTGTTTGAAATGATGCGCGCTACGTGCCGTGACGACCATTGGGCCGCTCGCTGTAGTCCAAATTATTTAAGGGCGACAATTTTTAACACGATTTAAAATTGATGAGACAATGAATTTGATATTTGTAAATCCATACTCATCTTACGGGTGGCTTAATCTAATTTGGGCCTACACAAAAATGTTATACTAGGCCTATAAATATTTATTTAGTAATAATAATAATATTAAATATTTATTAAAATATATATATTATCTTTTGAGATATTATCTACTAATTTAAATTTTATAAATAAAATTTGTGTTAATTGAAGTCAAATACAAAGATCAAATATAATGATACATACTATTTGTTTAAGATAAAAGAAAAACATAATTAAAAATTAGTTTGACTAGTAAAATATTTTTTTTTCTAAATGTATGTAAAAATAGGAATTTATACAAGTTGAGCAGCCCTAAAATAAATGATACATCAATAATATAAAACATGATAGATTTTAATAAATTCATCTGATGGTCTCAAATAGACTTATCCAACGGTCACCAACATCTCTCTCAAAACCATTCAAATAGAATTTTTCCTCCTAAATCTATCACTTCTCACTACGTTGCATTGTACCTTCAGAGACGGGTTTCCCTTAGTTGTTAGATATCATAGAAAAAAAGAAATATTTTTAAATAAAAAAGATAGGTAGTGCATTACTTATATTCACTCTATTTTATAATCATCTTGTACATTGTAAACAAAGTTATTAAAAAATAACCTCAAATTTAATTTATACAATGTAAAATTATTATTTGTACCTATTATATGATAGATAATTGATTTTAATAATAAAATTGTAAAGTGATAATATGTATAATATAAATATCATGTGAGATAAAAAATAAGTTGAACTTTAGGACCCTAATTTTTTTTGAAATAGGTTTTAAAAATTTTACAATAATGCTAGTTACACTTAATTTGAGGGCCAACTACACTAGATAGTGAATTTTGTTTAAAATTAGCACTCACTATTAATTAAATGATTAAAATATATTAATTATTTAAATATATTCTAAAATTTTAATTATATATTATTGTTTATTTTATTTTTGGGCCTCAAATTTTATTTTTTTTTAAATTTGGGGCCTAAAGGTTAGGCCAGTCCTTATTGATGTCTACAAAATATTATGTGAAAATTGAGGGTGAGTTCCCCTACATATACTTATTTGGAGATAAGTCCGGTAAGGAAACTTATAAGGAGTTAAGTGCATATTTAAAATTATATATATTGACTTAAATCCACCTTTTTTTTTATCTCAAAAATACCCCTAATGGTGTTAACGTTGGTCAATTATGAAAAGACATAAGTTAAATGTTTGAGATATATATGGTAACAAACTGATCAATTTTTTATGAAAATCGTATATATCAAAATATTATGCATGAATTACATTAAAATCAATGGTCTATTAATTCAATTTTGGATCAAAAAATTCCATTAAAAATTTAAATTTAAATTCAAAATCTGAATCAAGCATAATTCGTGTGTCTGCTATACCATTTGAGTAACAAACTTTTGTTTTGTATGGGAATTAGAATTGTTTATTTTTTTGTGCTGAATCACGGTAAATCTTAACGTTTTTGAAATTTTCCAGGAAACATGTGGTGTTCTTCTTCTTCATAACATACCGCTATTTCATTTTTATTTTACAGGAGTGTTAAAGGTGATAGCAGCAGCGACGAGAGTTCAAATTTTTATGTGATTTCAGTTCAACCTACTAGTTCTTGATTTTCGGAGGTATTTTCAGTTTAATTAGCTTTTTTTACATAACATGATTAACAGTGTTGTTTTGAAATTACCGTAAATTGGAAGTTACTTTGTCGGAATTTCGATGTTACTTTACCGGAATTTGCATTGCAATGTTATTTATCAGAGTTATTTAAATTTTTTTTTAAATTAGGTTCTAATGTTACCGATAGTGATTTATTAGAATTACAATTAATTATTTTCGTTTTTTCTTTGTTCTTGTCGAAATTCAATGTTACTTGCCGGTGTTCGTATTGCGACGTTATTCAACGGAATTTTTTTTTTTAAATAAGGTTCTAATTTTAGTTTTTTTATGTTCCTGTTTGTGTTGTATTTTAAATATAATTGATTATGTTTGTTTTTCTATTTTCATTTTCTCTTTATATTTGTTTTATTGGTTATAATAGATGGAGGATAACATATTGGTTTGTTGCAAGTATTGTTCTCGAGAGTGTTGTGCTAAGAATTACAATGAATTCCATAATGGATGATGTGTTACATGGGGTGTGTGACAATTGGAATGGGTTGAGTTTCAATTATGTTGCCCTGTTGTACGTTATTCCTAAACATTCGAATTGCGTTTTGCAAAACGATCATGACGTGAGAAACATGTTTCTAATTGCATGATCTGTTCAGTTGAATTTTGTTGAAGTTACATTTGTTATTAAAGGGAATGTGGTTCGTGATTTTGAGGGTGGGGAAATTGTGAAAAGTTCTGAATTAACTGTTGACCCTGTTGGTCTCAAGGATGATCTTCTCCCTCGTTTTTATTCTCACAATGAGAAGGTTTAGTTGATTGATAGATGGTCCAATGAAATAGTAAAGGTTGGGCAGAAGTTTGAGGGAAGAGTGACTGATTTTCGGAATGCTTTATACAAATATGCAATCAAGGTTGATTTTCAGTTTAATTATGTGAAGAATGAAAAAACAAGGGTAAAGGTTGAATGTGTAATGAAATATTATGCTGGGTGTGAGTGATTTGTTGTTGCTACACTCCAATAGATAAATGGATGGTTTTACGTTAAGAAGTTAAACAATGAGCACACGTGCGGTGTGGTTGCACGTATAACAAAGAATAAAAGATTGACTTCCAATTTAGTTGGGAGTCTTATTGTTGACAACGTCCGACAAAAACCTGACATACGACCAGTTGATGTGAAAAATATGTTTCATATAAATTATGGTCTGACCATATCATATGATCAAGCTTTGATGGGTGTTGAAAAAGCAAGGGGTATGTTGTTTGAGGATCATTCGTTATCATACCAACAATTACGGTGGTATGTACAGGCTACTAATGAAAGCAATTCAGGTAGTCATTTTATGTAGAAAGGTGATTCAAACACGCAGCGTTTTAGTAGGTTGTTCATGTCATTTAAAGCATGTATACATGGATTTAACTAATGTCGACCCATATTGTTCATTGATGGTACATTTTTAAAGGGAATGTATAAAGACATTATTTTGTCTGGAACTGCAAAAGATGGCAACCAAGGTGATTTTATTTTTTATTTTTTGGTTTAATTTGGTGTTACTGATTTTTTTTTTATTGTTACATTTTTAACATTTTCCTTGTATGTTACTGTTTTTTGATGTTACTGTTTGTGTTGGTATATGTATTGCAGGTTTGTTTTCTTTGGCTTTTGTTGTTGTTGATTCGGAGAATGAGTGTAATTGGTGTTGGTTTTTAGAACAATTAGCTAAGATTGTTGATAATACTAGGGACCTTACAATTATGTTTGATCGCAACGTTGGCTTGATGAAAACAATGCCAAAAGTGTTCCCATCGGTGCACCATTCATTTTGCATACATCACCTAAAAGCAAATCTGAGAGATAAGTATAGTGGGGGTCGCTTTACC